CTGAGGTCCAGGGCAGTGGAGACTTAATCCTGAGACTCTGTCCTAAAAACAAAACAGAACAAAACACAGCTTCCATTGGCCAATGGAGCAGAGTTGCGCTCTCTGAGATAAATCCACATTCTTACAGACGATTGAATTTGGACAAATGTGTGAAGAACACACTGTGGGAAATGACAGTCTCCTAAATGCTGTTGGAACAACCAGATATTCATCTGCAGAAGTGTCAAATGAGATTCAGATCCACATCTCATCTCGCATACAAAGGTCAACTCAAACTGCTAAAAGACTCAAGAGTAAGACCTAAAGCTGGAAAGCGGTCTCAAGACCTCAACAGGCGTCTACCAAAAGTAAGCCCACAAATGGAAAATAGGTATGTGAAAACATTCTGAACAATTCAAACAAACATTAAAAAAGGCAATTAAAATGAGCGCACGTCTTTGAGAATGACTATTATTCAAAAAGACAAAAGTAAAGAAGTGCCAGGGACAGAGGAAAGAGAACCTTCTGAAGCCACTGCTCACAGTGTAAATTGGTAATGCCCCTGGGGAAAACAGCTTGGGGGTTCTTCAGAAACTGAAAACTAAAAGTAGCACATGCTCCAGCAACCCCCAAACTAGGTCCATATCCAAGAGAGATGGAATCGGTGCCAGAGGGTACCCGCCCTCACATGTGCTTTTGGTGCTAGTCACAACAGTCAAGATAGCAAGTCAAAAGCCAGGTGCAGCATCACATGCCATAATCCCAGAGGTCCTGAGGTAGACGTAGGAGAATTCAGGATTAGAGGCCAGCCTGCACTACAGAGTAAGTTCAAGTCCAACCTGGGTTACCTAGTGAGACTCCTATCTTAAAAACATAACAAAACAAAAAAGCAAAAACCACTGTTATGGTGGGGCCTGCTTTTGATCTCAGCAATCAGGAGGCAGAGGCAGGTGGATCTCTGAGTTCAAGGCCACCCTGATCTACAGAGCAAGTTTCAGGACAGCCAAGGTTATACAGAGAAATCTTGTCTTGGAAAACAAACAAACATAAAACAACCCAAAATCCCTAAACAAACAAAAGCCTGAAGACGTGGCACATACTTAATAGAATAATCAACCTTTAAACAGGTGGAAATGCTATTTAATGTGATATGAAGAAATCTTGAGGACATTAAACTCTGAAATAAGGAGTCACGGAGTGACACAGACGGCGTGATTTTGATTCTATGAACTGATTGAAACCAGATCTTGCAATGTTCCCTAAGCTGATGAAACTCCTGAGCTCAAATGATCCTCCTGCCTCAGCATACTAAGTGTTATGGCCACTGCAGAGTTTAGAAAGGCCAATCTCACAAGAGCAGAGAATAAAGTGGAAGTGTTTCCGTTAGAAAAATAAGACCCGGAGATTTACAGTACCCATGATGACCACAGCTAGTGCCTTGACTCACACACACGCACGCACGCGCGCGCGCGCACACACACACACACACACACACACACACACACACACTGGTTTTTAAAGGCAGGATTTCACTGAGTTGCCCTGGCTGGAAGAAGCCTGGAGCGTTGGGAACACCACTACATGCAGTTCTAATGGACCTCTTAATGCCTTGAGTTCGAGTAGGAATCTTGTAGAAATCTCCTTCCATTACAGTACTGCTTAGGGAGACACCAAAATTCTTGCCTTATCCTTCCTGGTAAATGGCCCCCTTCCATGTTATTGGTAACACTTAGTTCCAGTACCTTTCGAGGAACATACGCCGTCAGAAGCGGCAGTAGCGTGTATTTACTGCTGTTCTAAGTGGCACCTAAGTGGCATCTTCTCACCATCCCATTAGGCCACATCCTCTTTGTTGCATCTCCTGGGAACATTTGCATTGACTTTACCCTCGGCCCAGAACTGGCCCTTCAGACAGTAGGTAGTTGCAGGCATTACTCTTACAGTTTTTCTGGGTCTTCCTATTCCTTGAAAGTCAGGAAGTCAGCCTCCTCAGTGAGTCTGAAGCCCTACTCCCAAGGTTATGTAAACAGTAACAGTTGGGGAAGAGAGATTTCCTGGGTCTGATTTGCTTGAAGGAGATTCTGACCTGGTGAACCACGCACAGGTCATTCAGGGAGCAGGAGGAAGCAGAGATCCAGTGATGAAGCTTTTTTCCTCATCACCTGTGGTGGCGGATGGGCTCTTCAGTGATGCATCTGCCCTTAAGCCATTCATGCTCCAGTAATTAATTCCAAAAGTAATTCCAATACGCAGAGCCCTGCGGAGGTGTTACTCAGGTCTGCTGTTGGTTCTGTGTCTGATTTAAGGAGACATTTGCTCATGCCTCGCCAGAAAAAGTCAAACAAGCGTTACAAGATAGAAATGTCAGGGTGCTGGAAGGATGGATAATTCAGTGGTTAAGAGCAGTGTAGCACCCATGCCAAGCAGCTCCCAGATCCGAGGGACCCGATGCCCTCTTCTGGACTCCTAAGGCACTACACTCAAATGCACTAATCCACACACACAGAAACTGCATATACAAATAATTAAAAATAAAGCTTAAATATTAGAATTTTAAAACTGTAAAACTATAAAAAATATTAGAGCCCTTTAGTCAAAGAGCATATAAGGTTCAGTGGCTGTTAGGGCCTCTGTTCCATCTGGTGCTGGTTTGACAAACCACGTTTTGACAAGGGGCAGAAGTCAAGCCAGGCCCTGCAGTCCACAGGACTGAAATCACAGTCCTGTGCCTGGGCAGGTGTGAGACGTTCTTTGCTCTTTATAGTCTGGGTGATTTGATTGTGGTCACAGAGAAACCCTGTCTCAAAAAAAAAAAAAATTCAAGATGGCAACCGTAGGGCAAAGAAAGAAAAAAAAAAAAAAGAATTCAAGATGACAAGTGTAGGGCTACAAAGCCTCGGGTTTCAGAAACTTCTCTGGAATACAGAGGCACACTGAATGCCTGTAGACCTCTCCTGTCTTGTGATAGTTAAATCTGTGGAGCGTCATCCGTTCTATAGGGAAGGAGAAGTACCAACACTCACAGGCTCGGCCAACGAGGCATCCTTAAGGGCCGAAGACAAATGAGGGAGAAAGTTCTTGGTCTGTGGTTCCTCACTTGGAAAAGCTTTGCACATACAAATAGGCTGGCCATATAATGCTATGAGCATTCTTTCTCACAAACTATGATATAGACAGTCCTTTAGGGTCAAGGGTGTGGCTCCTAAACAGGCCTATTGGATTATTTTTGCAAAATATATTGATCAATTGAAAAAACAATGCATGAGAAGAACTGTGGGAAACACATTAATGGATCAAATGGGGTATGCTAATAATAGACCCATGGCTGGCCTAAGTAAATAATTCAGTTTCCTGTGGCAAAAGCCATATCTACATAAAAGACTAGCAATGTCTCTACAACATTTATCAAGAAAGATGGCAAATGAAATCTCTAAAATCTGTTAAGAATCCCAAACGACTCACTGAAACTTATCTCAGACTGAACCCCTAAGAATTTTCTAACTAGGAATTAGCTTTGAGCCCAGTCTTGGGTCGGAAAACACCAAGCATTTGCTGAGAACCGTGGCAGGTCACTGATGAGACTTGGAGAGTTGGAGGAAGTGGTGTGGATGACCCCTCAGGACATACTCATAGTACAGACCCTGTCCCTAACACCCACTCTGCGTAGTTTCAGACAAGATGCTGGCCCGCTGGGCTGGGGCTCAAGTGAAGAGCCGTGATCACTGCTAGTTTGAGAAGAAAAGACCGCAAACCATTTAGAACTCTATGCAGCGCCTAAAATGCACCGAGTAAGTATTTGCTGAATGAGGAACCTGGAAACTGCTTGGGTAACTCAAATGCCCCTAGAGCGAAGAGTTCAGTAAAGGCACCCTTCCCCCTCCCCCTCCAGCTCTGTCCTGAAGACCAGTCTTGCTTCAGAATCCCCTGCTTCAGCCTCTGGAGTGCTGGGATAGAGGTCATAGTTGGGATTACAGGCCATAGCTGGCTCTCCCTACCACCCGCCCCCATCTCAAAATCTCCATAACTCTGCTAGCTTTTATATTAGAAGTGGTCTTCTTTACTAAAACTGTACCCTAAGAAGCAGGGATAGCGTTTCCTGGTCATTTTCTGAAAAGTAATTTGCATTCTTTTAGTGTATATATTTGTGGTTATATTCCTACGATAATATTGATCTTGATTTTTTTTTTCTTCAAGTGAGACCATTAAAAATAACTATATGAGTATTGGTCGGTGTCCAGTGCTCCCCTAGCATGCCAGGGGTGCTGGGCTGGATTCCCAGCATCTGAGTGGGGAAAGAGGAAAAAGAGTAAGTATGTGAAAGAATAAATTACGCAGCAGAGTTAGTGTCATTGAACAGCGCTGGAGCATATAGTAGGAATGGGCTCAGGAAGCAAATGCTCCACCAGTGAGTGAGCTTCATCCAGCACTGCAGAAAAACGACTTTTCACCAGTGTCCTTGACAGCAGCTCTGCAGACAGGCTACCCAAAGGCTCTGCAGTTCTGCTTCCCTGTGTTTCTGGAGCAGACTCCCATCGTTCCTGCGCTCCAGACTCTTTGAGTTTTCAGGGAGGCATTCCTTCACTCTCCGCCTTTCTTTTTCCCTTTCATTTCTTTGTTCTTCCTGGTACTGTGGTTTCCCACATTGCCCTATAGAAGAGTTTACACGTAGCTGTGACGTGTTCGGCCTAGTCCCTGGCTTTGAGGTCTGATTTGCATCGCCAGCACCCGCTGCACCCCGCGACCACTCCGTGCTATTGCTCCCTCGGGCGGGCAGCGGGCACTCCGTGCGCACGTGTAGTCACCTCCACAGTAATCTGGCACATTCTGTCTCCTTGCCGTTCTGCAGAATAGTTTAAAAGCCCTTGCGAGCCCCTCGGAGCCCGCCTGTGTCTGCAGCCGCAGCGCGTGCCGCAGGCGTAGCCGAGTGAACCCAGCCTCTCCCCCGCCCCGCCACTTCCTCCTGGGCGCCCCGAAGCCGGGGCGGTTTGATCAAGGGCGGGAGTGGCGGAGTCTCTCTGAGCATGCTCAGTTGCTAGCTGCGCGGCTAGAGAAGCAGAGCGCGGGCGGAGTGCAGCAAGCTGTGCCTAGAGGGTTGAGCGGAGCTTGCGGCCCGAGCCGAGTGGAGCCGAGCAGCGCCGAGCGGAGCCGAGCGCCGGTATTGGGGAGACATGCAGATGATGAGTAGGAACGTTCTGCTGAACATGGAGCTGGAAGAGGACGACGATGAGGATGGAGACATCGGTAAGTGCCCGGGGCCGGGGCGCGGGGATCCGGGGCGGACGCCACTGCGCGGAAGCCAAAGCAACTCGGTGGTTTTTCCTGCGTCCTCTCCGGACGGTGTTGCGGGGTCCCTGCTCCCGGGTCCACGACACACCTGATCCGGTGCCGCGGAGGCCACAGGCAGCACCGCTCGCCGGTCCCGCCCGCAGCCCCGCATTAGCCCGCAGAGACAAAAACAAAAGGGCTGGAACGGCGGGCGCGGGGCAGGGACGCGGGGCGACGCCGGGCGGAGGACGGTGGCCGATTTCCACCAGGCCTCCTGCACGTCAAACCGTTCCTTCTCACGGCCTCCAAACACTTTACAAAGTAAATTTAGGAGTTGGGTGTGGCTTTTCCTTCCGTTCAGATTTTACCCACAAATCATTTAAATCAAAGGAATTTGATAACACCCCACTTTAAGACAAACTTGGGGAATTACACTCCAAGACTTAGCCTCGGCGTTTTCTTCTGACAGAGCAATCTCATCTTTGTGGAGAGAGCAGACAGTATTCCTTTTTAAAGAGTAGAGAAAAGTGCGCACAGGTTGACCTCTTTGGCGCCTCACACTGTTGAGTCCAAGTTTCTGATTTACCCGACTTATGCAAAGTTAAGGCTCTGCACCTGGCCACTGCCAGGCAGTCGATCTAGGATGCGACTCTTCGGTGGGATTGAATAATAAGTGCCCATTACATAAAAAATACCACCCCATGGGAGCAGCGTTAGAAAGTTACTCTCAAATGAGCACAATCAAGTTTCTTAGGAAAATATTCTTGGCTATCATCGTGAGGTACTCAAGTGAGAACCAAGCTGGAATGGAAGTTGACATAAACAAGTGACTCAGTGTAACTACTTGGCTCCGTCAGACTTCAATTTAGAAAGAAAAATCTAATTTGGTCTAGCCCCTGTTACATGATTAGGTTACATGATTAGGCGTCATAGGTTCCTCTTCAGGGCCCAGCAGTAGGCTGGCTTTGCTTTTAGTGACCGATGCAATTCAGGCTTGTTCCGTGAAGTAACACAGCAGATGCGGTTAATTTCCTCCGCCTCTTCTCACCAAACCCCTCTCCCCCCCCAGTATTTAGATTGATATTTTAGTGTAGCTAGCAGACAGACAACTGATTTTGCCAGGCAACAAATATTCAAGCAGGTTCTGGCGACTTTTGGTTTTTCTGTATCGAATTACACTTTTAACGTGGAGTACATAGTATCAGAAACTATGTTATGTTATATAACATAGTTTATTATGTCATAATAATATGTTATGTCATATAACATATATGTTATATGTTATGTGTGTTATGTCATATAAATGATAATGGTCGAGTGTGCTTCCTTGGAAATCACTGAAGTAGGCAGTGGTTTACAGGCAACTACACAGTAATTCTGATTTCCCACTGTGGGAGAGGAGGAGCCCCTGGTGGGATGCGGGTTGTAGCTTTAACCAAGGCTCAAATTGTGCTAAAGCTCTCGATTAACTACTTCCTCGGGACTTGTCACTACTCTGATAGTTGTGTGAGCGTTTAAAGCATGGTCAGTATCGGCATTTTCTGATGAATTTCTCTTAGCTTTATAATTCAGCGCGGGAAAACTACTCTGACACGAGGCCCTGACGTCATCAAAGGCTGACCGCAAGCAATGAAAGTAAAACCTTTTTAACTAGATGATAGCATCATAGAGAAGTTTCCCTACACGTGTGAAGTCAAGCCTTTGGGGAGACTGGGTTATAGAGCTATATAAACAATTCATTCAGGTTGTTCTTGAAGCTATTTGGTACTTGGGTGTCAGGTTGGCCTCCTTATGCGTAATAAACCAATATAGAGAATTAAAAGGGGTAAACTTCCCACGGTGTCTTCCTCGTTCGTTGGCTTATGGCTTGGCCACCGGAAACTATGCCTAAAAGGCATGCTGATGAATGAACCCACGGGCAAAACTTGTTCTCTCTGTTTCACCAACCAGCCACAGAAGTCCTGTGAGGGCAGCAGTTGTGGGAGGGCCCTAGTGGAGACGACTGTAATTGCAAGTGCTGGATCTGCAGAGAGCTGTCCTTGGCTGTCTCCACAAGTTCCCACCTCCAGTTAACCAGTGAGCTGATTCAGCACCATTTCTTCTTGATTTAGGAAGTGATAGAAATAAGACAGGTGGGACGGATCCGTGGATAATGGCATCTGCCACCAAGCCCAGGGACCTGAGTTCAATCCCCAGACCCACATGGTGGAAGGAGGGTGCCAACTCCCACATGCTCTCTGACCTTCCTTTGTGCATTGCACTCATCCCATCTCCAGCCCCCTTAAGAAGTGATAGTCGGAGCTTTCACGGCAGAATGTAGAAGCTCTTGATTAATACGTTTCTTTCACGCTTCTCATTCCTCAAATGGTTTGTATAGTTGTTGGCTTTTTCTTTTTTAAAGTTTTTATCTTCTTGCATTGACTATGGTTCAAACTCTGCCAAGGGAAAGTGGTTCTAGACGTGGAAGCGATGGGGAAGGGCTCAGGGTTCAGATGGATTGGTTTAATATGGAGAGTTGACTGGTGGGTTTGGCTCCCTAGGTGACTGAAAGCTTTAGGTTTACCGTCTGTTTCTGGCAGTCGACTTGGTGATGATTGTTCTCATCCTGATAATCATACCATTTGGGAAGTGGATAGAGGTCATGTGAGATAATGGTTCGGCCGTTCCTCTTCAGACTTTGTTCCTTTCACCAGCGCTGTCTTAGAAAGACTAATCTACCCATCTCCTACTCCCTTGGTCCATTTCATGTTGAATCACCCACAAATCTAGGCCTCGCCTCGTCTGTTAGACCTTGTCAGCATTAGCTGAGCAGCCTTTCTGTGCTAAGTGCAGGAGGGTGTATATTAGACCAGGCCAAGTGGCACCCCTTTCCCAGGATGGGGTCCCTTGAAACAGAACCCTTGTAGAGTGGCTTAATTGAGGTCTATGCAAAACTGTGGGAGGGCATTTGTAGACAAGGTGGCCACGCTGTGGAAATCTGGCCCGTGCAGGTGCCCAAAAGTCAGGAGAGGGTTTCCAGGGCACAGACCCGGTGGTGGGAGGGGGGGCATGGAGGGACTGTCCTGTGAAAAATTCTCCACGCATTTTAAACTCTTGGTTCACTTGTAACTAGCTTGGGAGGCCAAGAAAGTTGTCATGGAAAGATAGGACTTGCACCTGGTAGCGTGTTAGGAGGCAGAGAAGGAGGGAGAATGCCCGTAAACCTTCCCAGGATTTGAGTTTAGGGGTGTCTGCAGTGACCCCAGGATTAAGGAATACGACCTGGAGCTTGCGGAAGGAGGGCCATTTCTAAGTATCTGACCCTGGCTGTCGCGTCTGGTGTGTGTCACTGTCTTGAGTGAAGGGAAGGATGGGCGGTGTTCTGAGTGTGGGCTAGGTGCTGGTGTCTGTTCAGTGGTAATTTTCTTGGCTGCTCTGGCTCAGACCATTGCTTTCAGCCCCACTTCCTCCCTTTCTCCTGACTCTTCCTCCTTCCAAGCCTGTTACAGACGCATACAGATAATGCTGATAGTGCCAGCCCTCAGCCGCTCCCAGTGCAGTTTCACATCCCCTGTTTCTTCGTTCAGTGTACTTGGCCTTCACCCTGGTTGTGCCCTTATTATCTCTACAACGGAAGTGTAAAGTGCTGGGGAGATTGTGTAAAATATCTCGAATGTTGTATCTATTCCTATATTAAAAAAATTATGTCTCTTTATCATCTTCCTCTAAAATGTAGGTTGACTTTGAATTTTAAGGTTGCCCCCACGGGCTTATGTAGAAGCCAACCAGTTTTACTTAGTAAAAGAATGAATAATTCATATATATATTATTTATAATAGTATCTTATTTACTTATTTTTATTTTGTTATTTTGGAGACACAGTCTCTTACAGCCAGGATGCCTTTGGACTCAGTATGTAGCTGAGACTGGCTCTGAACTCCCGATCCTCCTGCCTGTGCCTCCTGAAGGTTGGAATTGCAGGCATGAGCCACTGTAGAGTGACTCACTCTTGAAGTGATTTAACATAATGCCTAGCGGTTTTATGGCTTTGTAGACTTCTCTTTTGTGTTATCTGAAGAGCACATACACTCAGTTGTTCTGCTTCGTTGCACCCTGTATTGCAGTAATTCATTACTAGCTCTGTAATCAAAGGGTGTGTCAGGAGAAGTCCTGGTACGGAAGTGGTACCAAGGAGACAGCATGTAACCTTGCTGATCTAGCTGTAGAGGGGTGTGGGCAGCTGAGCCAGCTGGGGAGGGCTAAGAAGATAGGTTATGGGGGTATGATTGCTAAAGGCACAATGGCTTACACCCAAATAAACCCAGTACTAGCTTCAACTTATGTGACATTCGTCTGTGTGTAAATATATTTATGTGCATATCTGTGTGTGTGTGTGTGTATACATATGCATTTTTTTTAACAGAAAGATGAGAGTTTAAAAGAGTGATCAGAGCCATTTTCCCATTCAGTCTAGCGTTCCACATCTTGTCATGACTTGCCACCCACATTCTAACTTTTAAGTCAGATAACAGCTTTGCAAAGGGTCCCCTCGTCTCTCTCCTCTTTGGCCACCTACTGCTCTGCATGTGACAAGAGCATCCTAAGAGAAGTTCTCTGAAAGTCCTTGTGAGGGCGGGGTTGCCACAGTGGCTTGTGTTGCTGCTTCCTCACTTTTTTTTTTCCTTTAGAAGCCAAGACGTTTAGCTCAAACACTCCTATAGACACTCCCATCAGAGATACGGTCTTAATTCTGTTCTTGGTGGGAGATAAAAGTACTAAGAATTGCATAAGGTAGAGGATGATTGAACTCTGAAGGTGGTCTTTGTTGCAGGTTGGATTGATGTGAGCGTAGTTTAGTTAAAGTTGTCCTGCAAGCTACCATGTTGTGTCCTGTTAACAGGACATCTTTCCCAAGAGCTGTAGTTATCCCATCACGATGCTGTTCACGTAGTAGGTGTTTAGCAAAGCGTTTGTTATAGGATTGGTTTAGGTTTTCA